CCTACAGGCAACAGCCCATTCTAATAATCAGACGGTTGTCGTGCAGAACCCCATGACCGTTGATGAAAGTGGAAAGTTGGTAAGTTCTTTCTTTTCCTTGGCATTAATTACTTACTCAATCATTTAGGGGGTGATTGGATATACATCAAAACCGGTTTTGATTGAATTTTGAGTTAAAGTTGAGTTGATTTTAAATAAAGTTGATTAGGTGGAGTATTCAGTGGGATTTTGAGTTTGTATTTAATGCGATGTAAAAGTAGGAGATATGTTATTGAAAATGATAGGTAGTTAAAATTATGTGAGTGGATAAACAGTGAATTAAAGTTGATGTGATGCGTAAGGATGACCGATTGTTATTATTTAATTATATTGATAATATTGAGTAGAGTTGTGTTGAATTAAATTTGAGTTAAAGGTGTAAAAAAATTATTCGATGGGTCAAAATCAGTTTCAATCTGTAGCCAATCACGCCCTTAGTTTATCACACATAACTTTTTTTTCACAACATGGTTATCTTATTTATTATCTTGTTTCGGAAGATAAAAGTTTGATGGGGTTATTATCGGCATAGGTGAGCAATGTTGTTGTGGGTGTCACTACATAAAGAAGATAATGTGATCGGCTATTCGGCTTTATCTTGGCTTCAACTTTATTATAGAGATACTTTGTGCATATTGTGGCTATGATTTAATATTGCCTTGTTACGTGATTAGTCGTAAGGAAACTGCGATATTGTGTATTGTATTGGGTGAATTTGNTGTGCATTTGTATGCCGATAAATTCGTGCATGAAATATTGAATTCGATCTTGCCCGTGTGTATCTTTTTATCTGAAAAATATTGAAGAATTGTTGTCTGCCTTCTTAGTTTTCTAGTTGATGAGAAAAATAAAACGTGCCAGCCATTCTTGAATGTTGGTGTAGACAGTAAGTACTTGTTAATGTTCAAATTAGATGAACTGTGGCATGTGAAAGGGAGGAATTTAACTAAGGTGAAAATGAAATTACATTGCAAAATTATTAGTAATAATGTTATGATAGTTGTTGGGCCAATTGAGCGATGCTGCAGTTAGATTGTATAATCGTTAATAAATGTATATATCAGCTTTTTGTACTAAAAATATTTTCTTCTTTTTAATTGAAGTAGACAATTGCACGAATTCCACTTTTTGTGATCTTGTTTATAAAATTAGTATGTTTCAATAATTTGCACAAATGTTTATACCCTTCGATTTCATAAATAAATATTTTCTTTCACTTATTAACATTCTTAATATCATTTATTAATTCTACATCATGATGCATAAAGAAGTGGCAAAGAACTGAGACTGACGAAATTTACTCGAGTACATGAAAATCACACTTTGTTTGACAACATACAGGCCTCTTCAACTTTGAAGATATCCAATAATTAATAGTATCATTTATTAATTTTCGACTCGGCAAATTATCACTTCATAGAGAATGGGCACGAGAACTTGAAATTAAGCAGATTTCTATGACATGCTATTTAGCTACTCTGACTTTATTAAATTAGAATTCAAGTGTTTGAACTTAAAAGAGCATACAATGGCAAGTTTGAACTTAGTCTAATAAAAAAACTAAATTGCTATTCACTCCCTCTATTACTATTCATTGTCCCTCTAAATTACGTTTTTGCCCTTCACTGTTCTCTTTCTACTCTCTCTACTCTTTTCCTCTCGATTTTATAAGGCTCTTTTGACCGTCAAAAAAATGCCAAAAAAAATACCATGACATCGGCAAAACATTGAAGATNCTATAAAAATAACTGTTATATATATAATACTAACTAAAATCTAGTAAAAAGTAAAAAAAAAAAAAAAATACATGGTCAATCTTCAATGTCTTGCCGATGTCATGGTATTTTTTTGGCATTTTTTCGAATTTTTTTTACGGTCAAAAGATCCGTATAAAATCGAGAAGGAAAGAGTAGAGAGAGAAGAGAGAGAGAGAGTAGTGAAGGGCAAAAACGTCTAAAGGGGCGGTGACTAGTAATGCCCTAAAAAAATCCTAGTAAATTTCATATCACCATACTTTAAAAACAAATTCAATAAAGTAAAAAAAAAATCGACTTCCACAAGATGTCATATCATATCACCAACACATCTAATAATCTTTCAATCAAACATATGCATTTTTACCATTCATTCTCCTCGTACCTTCTAAAAATAAAATAAAAATAAAAAATCATTCCCTACTCATATAGTTAGCTACCACAACAATCACCAAAGCCAAAAGGACCAAAGTTGGCTATAGAATAAAAGAAAATATAAGGATCCAAATAAGTGTTGGAACAAGAGGTTTAGGCAAAAAAAATTTTCACCCGGTGCTACAAAATATACAACTGTTATTCAAACAAAGTTGTCTGCTAACATAGTTCGATTCAGCTTCTAAAAGTTTGAGCTTGACTTCCTTTTATATTTAAAAGAGCTAAACTCGAACAACTAATCGAGTTTGTTTATCAAATAAGTCGAGTTGAACGTGTTCGCGAATAATTCGGTTAGAGTTTTTAGATTTTGGTCTAGTTTTTGAAGTTTATTAAATGACTTGCACTGAGGTTATACGAGTCGAACCCAAGCTAAATTTTTAAATTGTTTATTAAACACGACAACTCGTTTAATAAACGAGCACGAGTTCAAACTTGAAATACCCAATTCTCCAAGTCAACACACATAAGTCGACCACCCGACGGTCGATAGCTCTGCATGAGCCATTTAAAGGCGAAAGCCGGTTTGACCGAAGTCGACAATGTCGGAGTCGACCTCCCTAAGTCGGCCACCAAAGTCGACTTCCACCCAGAAGACAAACAAGCGTAGCCTTTGAATACTCACACGACCCTAAGTCGACCTCCCAGTGCTCGAGGTCGATTTCTTACGCCTCGAGGTCCAAAACATAATGACGACTCAGTATACTTGGGATACCTCTTAAAGTCTCATATCCTCTAGCAGATAAGAAGGAATCTCGTGATGACTAAGCAGAGAGGGAAAACGAACCGTCCGGGACATTTTGGACATTCCAAGTAAGTTGACCAGGGCATTCTGGGTACTTCAAGTAAGTGTTTCCTCCTATATAAAGGGGGTGAGGTAACCTAAACCCTAACTTCCATTCACTCTATACACTTTCCTCTCCTGCTGCTGCTGCTCTCTGAGAGCAGCCCTCTTCATCTCTTTCACATATTGACTTGAGAGTTGGAGGCTCTATGCCGGAAACACTTCAATCGTGGAGTTCTTGCAGGTGTTATCGCGGTCTAGCAGCGGTTCGAAGGCGATTCAGACAGATCGGAGCCCATTACCATCGGTTCGCTTCAGATCCAGAAGTAGACCCATCATCTAGATAGACCCACGTATAAGAAAGTCAAAGTATGAAAATAAATTTTAGATTTAAAATAAATTACATGAATCACAAAATAAATAATATCAAAATGTGAATGTTGCATTTACAAAATAAAAATTATTATACGGAGATGACTCTCATTTAACAAAAACTTGTGAGTTTTTAACTACTCTCTTATACATATAACAAATTTTATTTTTAATTGTTTCATTATTTTTTAAATGTACAAAGATAAAATTTCTAATTTACTTGAATTTTAATTAAAAAACATAATTTATTAAAAGAACTACTATAAAATAGTGTAATAGTCACATCATTCTTGTTATATGACATGTCATTTAAAGTATATATGTAACGATTTTGCTATTCGATTAATGCAAATCATGAATTTTTCCCGCTCATTTTTTTTTAAATTAATATTAAAAAAACCGTTACATTTTAATATTTTATATTAATTAAGTGTAATAGTATTTGTAAACTATTTTATATATAATAGTTAATAATAATAGTAACTAATTAGTGAAAGTTATATACTTATAAAAAATTATTTTGCCATGTTTTCCTTTAAGACATGTAATCTACAATAAATATTATTTTTTATAATCATATTAAGCTATTTTTCTGTAATATTGGTTAATGGTTCCAGTGGCATAATAAAACCTCTTTAAATCACATAAACAATTTCTATAACAATAATAAAAACAATTGTAATATTTTTGCAACTAAATAGCTGGGTTATGAACCTTCTAAATTACATAAATTAAAATCTTCATTACATGTTATGTCATCAGTATATTGATTCCTATGTAAGTTAAATAAATTATGTTATTTATTTATTAATATTCAAAATTTAAAAATGTGACAAACCCATTATCTAGTTTTAATTTCAAATATTATACACATACATATAATATATAATTTTTTCTTTGCCTTTGTAAATATGCACATGATCGAGTATCAGTTTTGAAGTAAGTTCATATAATCAACTATCATTTATCAAAAATTCATTGAATATATAAACTTGATTGTGAAATCTATAAATTCAATTACATACTAAATATTCTAATAAAAGTCTAACACAGTTGTCTTGAATAAAATTATTCAAATAAAATCTATTTAATCAAATAGTAAAAAACAATCACAAAAATGACATAAATCAAGCCTTAATTCTCCACCCAGGATGTTTCTTAAAAAAAAACACACACACACACACAAAAAAAGACATAAAAGGGGCATATTAATCTAAAAAAAAAAGTGGAAAGCAACTTAAATCATGTTCAAATATATAATTCATTGATTTAATTTAAAATAAACTAGTACGTAACCTGTGCGATGCACGGGATGTAAAATTTGGAAGAATAATATAACCTCACTTGCATTAGGATCGAAAGTGAAATCATTAAAATACATAGGAATATTGTTGAATCATAAAAAATTCGGTAACAATCATATATTGTTAAAAACCTCCTTGTACACAACATTATGAGTTTGATTATTTGGTAACTCCTCATTATCACAAATTAATATTTTCAAAAGAGACAAATCCTAAAAATCAAACTAATATTTTTGGTGAACAAACTAATATTTTAGGATTGGTGAACAAACTAATATTTTAGGATTTCTAGGATTTGTCTCTTTTTGGTGAACAAACTAATATTTTAGGATTGGTTATATGAATAAGGCTACCTGTTTTTTGTGTTCTTTTCATTCATTTT